AACACGCTGGATCCGGTGGATTCGCAGTATCGATATCCCTAGGCCTCCTGGCTTCTAATGGAGCACAGGATTCAAGGTTAATAAACTTTTTGTAGCTCTCGAAGAAGCAAATGGCACTTCACATTCCTAAAAGTAATTTATCGGGCATGTCTATACCACAAGGCATCGTTTCCCCACTTTGGGGCATTTGACTGCGAGAAGAAGGTTAAAGAGTATGTAACAAGGCATAGAAGACAAACTTCTCACCTTGTATTATGTGAATATTGTGGTTCCCACCAGCCCTTCTGTGGCGTCTTCTTGCTGTGGAGATGGATGAGGAAACCATGAAAGCCCTACTCATGGATCTGGGCTCATAGGAGGGAGTTTGATTCCTAAAGATTGATCTTTGTGGACATGCTGCCTATGGGTGGTTAATTTAACTTTTCTCACTTTCTTTCCAACAGGTTTGAAATTGAGCACGATTATGTATTCCTGGAACAGCAAGAAGCTTACGTGAAAACCACAAAGGAAAAAAGCTAAAGAAAAATGTAAATAAATGTATAAAATGTATAAGGTATATATTAAAACATTGACTATGAAGAAAAATCAAACTTGTATGCTTTTTTCTTTTTAGTAAAGTATTCGTCTATGTTTTTAAAATATTTGTTTTAGTGCTGGCACTGTTTTTATAATTTATTTTATTGCGTTTTTAAATCACCCTCCCTCTAAGGAGCTCGGAATGGCTAACAAGTTTCTTCATGCTCCACCCTATTGAATCCTCACAGCACCCCTGTGTGGTGGGTTATGCTGGGAGAGCATAACTGACCCAAGAGATCTAAACCTGAATTTTCCTAGTCTTTGTCCTGTTCTTTGACCACTACACTGCACTGGGTTGTCTCCTACAATATTTACATTCTCACAGCGAGGTGAAGGTGAATTATTTTGTGAACCCATCCAAGTGTTTTTCGGGAGAAAAGACAGCCCTTTAGACCAAACTTCACACCAACTTATGCATTCATTTCATTTTGGTAGAAATGTTTCATATCTGTGCCATTGTAGATACTGACTGAGTTGAATCCTTATGAGATTGTTGTAGTCAGAGATTAATGAATAATTCTGGCGTTTGGCGAGCCATGAAAGAAAGAAGTGTTCAGTAGGGCCCACTATAAATTTGCCTGGAGCATTTGGGGCAACTTTTCTTTTTTGGGGGAGTGGGGAACATTTGTCAGAACATTGCTTATAGGTTGTAGCCAGATGGGAATTTTTTGTGCAATTACTGCTGATAATGGTGCTAGGAGATTTCACACGCCACACACAGGATGTGCCACCCATTGTTCCCTTTTATCATTTAACTTCCAGTTATTTTCCCAGAACATATACAGTACTTCTTACATTTTAGATGTACATTTCACACTGCCTCCCCTTGCCAGAGTTTGATTCCATCTTTTCTTCTGTTGCACACATTCACACTCAACATTAGTTTCTCCTTTTTTTTTTTTTTTGTTTTAGCAGAAGCTAAATTTGCTATTATATAAAGGAATTAAAGGAATTAAAGAACCTTTTAATGAGGGTGAAAGAGGAGAGCGCAAAATATGGTCTGAAGCTCAACATCAAAAAAACAAAGATCATGGCCACTGGTCCCATCACCTCCTGGCAAATAGAAGGGGAAGAAATGGAGGCAGTGAGAGATTTTATTTTCTTGGGCTCCATGATCACTGCAGATGGTGACAGCAGTCACGAAATTAAAAGACGCCTGCTCCTTGGGAGAAAGGCGATGGCAAATCTAGACAACATCTTAAAAAGTAGAGACATCACCTTACCAACAAAGGTCCGTATAGTTAAAGCCATGGTTTTCCCAGTAGTGATGTATGGAAGTGAGAGCTGGACCATAAAGAAGGCTGATCGCCGAAGAATTGATGCTTTTGAATTATGGTGCTGGAGGAGACTCTTGAGAGTCCCATGGACTGCAAGAAGATCAAACGCATCCATTCTTAAGGAAATCAGACCTGAGTGCTCACTGGAAGGACAGATCGTGAAGTTGAGGCTCCAATACTTTGGCCACCTCATGAGAAGAGAAGACTCCCTGGAAAAGACCCTGATGTTGGGAAAGATGGAGGGCACAAGGAGAAGGGGACGACAGAGGATGCACACAAAGAAGTGTTTCAGTTAAATGCTGTAAATTTAAACAGGGCAACCAGATAGAGAAAAATGGAATCCATAATGCCATCTGGTGGTACAACATTATATCAATATATTCAATGCATATAAATCACTTTTTCTTTACCAATCTAGCTGAGTCCTAGGTTACGTTATGATGTTCTGTCAAAGGGACTCTCCCTCTCCTCTATTCTTTTACACACTACGTTGGAAGTATTGGGGTGTAATGAAGGGTGTAAATTTCATTTTGCCAGAACACATTATGAACCTCAATATTCTTTGTTTGAAATACTCCACTGGTTGCTCTTGCTTCCTTTGGCTGAAGACAGTTGATTCATGGCTGCTGCATATGAGACTCCACATGCTATCTAAAAAGACATTTGACTACTAAAATGACCAAAAAATAAAAATAAATAAATCCAATATACAGACCTGCCAACATTACAATGTCAGGACTTGGCTTACTAGCAGGGCCTGAAGCAAAAATTCTTGGAAAGTCTTCAGTTGCTACAAATAGGGATCCACAACAAAGACTAGTAACTCAGAGCATGCAGTAGGCCCAAGGTTAAATCCCTGACACTTCCAGGTAAGTGTGGGAGAGAGCCTTCCCTGGAGAGCTGTAGCCAGTCAGTTTTGATAATACAGTGGTACCTCAGGTTACATATGCTTCAGGTTACATACGCTTCAGGTTACAGACTCCGCTAACCCATAAATAGTGCTTCAGGTTAAGAACTTTGCCTTCAGGATGAGAACAGAAATTGCGTGGCGGTGGCAGCGGGAGGCCCCATTAGCTAAAGTGGTACCTCAGGTTAAGAACAGTTTCAGGTTAAGAACGGACCTCCGGAACGAATTAAGTACTTAACCCGAGGTATCACTGTACTGAGTAAGCTGGAGTAGTGGTCTCACTTGGTGTAAGAAAGCTGCCAATGTTTCTATTGTAGTACATACTCCTCTGCTACTCAGTGATTGCTACTGTGTCCTTCCTTCTAGAAGATCAAGATAACCAGGTGACAGCAAAAATGGCAATTTTTTTTAGCAGGGGCGATTAGAATAAGATCTATTATTTGATTATAGATGTAAACCTCCAGAATGTATTTTGTATTGTTAAGTTTTTACCTCTGCCTTCAGTCCGTTGTATTTTATTTTATTGCTATGGCTTGTGGCTGTTGCAAATAGATTCTTCTGATTCTCTGGCCCTACCATTAGGCAGAGTGAGGCAATTGCTTAAGGTGACAAATGCTGGGGGCATTCCTCTTGAAGTAAGGGTCTGCTGCCAGTCCAGTCACTTCTCTTTGTGGAACTACATGTGTGTAGGAATGTGCCATCTTGTCTTCTGCTTCAGGCAGCAAACTGTCTTGGACTGGCCCTGGTCTCCCTGCCACCTAAGAACTGCTTGTAGCAATCCTCGGGGTCCACAGAAGTGGAGTCCTTTTAGGAGGTGGGAAAGAGAAAGGGACATTTTCTCCTTCCCTACAACTCGTGAAACCTCCTCATGCTGTGCTATAGGGCTCACAATCAGGAGCAGCTCACGGCAGCCCTGTATTAGAAGGCAAGTTGGTATAAACCACAGAGCACCAAAGGAGCCAGTTGGCAGAGCCGTCTTTTCCACAGGGCTTAGTGGTGCATCGCGCCAGGGCGCTGGCCTCTCAGTGGTGCCCCAGCAAGTGGGGGAGCTGCGTGGCTTTGCTGGTGGCCTCCCCTTTCCCTGCATGCCTGCCAGCTGCGCCCCACCAACCATAAGGCTGTCATGTGTGCAGCTTCCCTCCCAAGCCTCTGTGGGGATCGCTCTCCTCCCGAGGAGGCTTGGGAGGGGCGCAATTTCACTCCCAAGCCTCTGAGGGGATCGCTCTCCCGCAGCGGCATGGGGGACAGTTGTGCCCCTTGATGACTGGCAGTGCACAGCTATGGCCACCCCAACACTGTCCATGGTAATTTGGGAGATCTGGGCAGATATTTGCACCCCGGCGCTGCATCTGCTAAAGACGGCCCTGCCAGTTGAGACTGCCAGTGTCAGAGATGGAATGACTGGATATAAGATCAGCAGAGCAATTGAACACTGACATCAAGAGCGTTTCTAAGCTCCGTTTGTGCTGTGGGTGGGGGAAGGACAGCACCTTTGGGGATCCGGGGGCTGAGAGCTAAGTGGCACTGAAATAAAGGCTTTTAGGTAGTCGCTGTTGCAAGAATCCACCCCTCCTCCCAGCTGAAGGTGGAGACTAGGGGTCATTTTGATTATTAGACGTGATGTCTTAATGGGTCAGGAGACCTGCCATTCCACCCAGCCACCCGCCAAATGCCATGGAAATTCTCTCGTCCATAATGCAAGGGAACATGGAGCTCCAATCACATGATGCAGTGTGGATTCACATTGAATGACTTGCTTCAGAAGTCTACTACACTGAAGTGAATCTGATTCTGGGGTCCATTGCGGCACTAATCTGTGACAACATATATGAGGCTAGTGGAAGAACTATAGGAGGACCACCAGCACATCTCCTCGTTCTGTAGCTTAACATCCAGAGCTCTAGAAGAGGCATGGGAAGCTATGGCTCTCCAAATGTTGTTGGACTCCAACTCCCAACCTCCAACAACTGGAGGACTCCAGGTTCTCCAGCGCTGCTCTCGAAGTTAAATGTCTTTTCCAACAGTGTTTACTTCTGTGCATAATGGATATATCTTTACATCTCTGTTTCCCATCTGTCAAAAGAGCCTGTTGGCTATAAAAACCTATGCAATGAGAAGGGTATAGGTAGTAAAGTATTAAGGTATAATACCTAACTAAATACAATGTATTTTGTGCCTTAAAGGTCCCATAGAAAATATTAATGGACCGTAATATTTCCATCTGCCATTTTGTTTTTCAGCCCAGATGATCCTGAAAACATCATTACAAATGGAACTTTGGTGGTAATTATGCATTTTCAGAGTCCTTTTCTATGAAATGGCTGCTGTATGCAAACCTTAACCCATATTGTCTTGCAGTAAGCAAGGAACACTCTGTGCTGCTTCTGTACTGAGGGATTAAATTGCTTGCTTCTGCTTATTTCAGCTCAGCTAATGCAGATGACATCTGTTGGTTAAAATGGTTTCAACCAAGTTGTTATTCCTTCCAGTGGTTTTGTTGTTGTTATTCACTTGAACCCATCTCCTACCCCACAACTTGAATGTATCAGCCCTTAAAATATTTTTCCCCCTTTTTGGAAGAGGCGTTTGCAATTACATATGTTTTTCTTCTTGTTGTTGATTAGAAATTACTAGCCTGATGAGAACTATGTAGGCCATTCAACCACCTTGATCACACCCTCTTTGGGCATTTATGGTTACATGGAAAGTAGGGTAATTTGTTAACATTAATCAAGCAGGACTAATAACAGTCATCAGAGAGCTGTCTGGATATGACCAACTGGTTGGGTGACAATGTAATGGTCCAGAGCTCTCCCTCCAGCTATGGAGTACCCATTGTCCCAGAGAGGGACTGTAGCACATTAATACATCACATGCTCTGCATGCGGAAAGCCTCAGGTTCAGTCCTTGGCATGTCCAGTTCCCACAATGGATAGCTTAGGTGGGTTTTCTGTGTTTCCCTCCTTATCGAGCCAGATGCACCTCTACTTGGCAGATTGAAGGAGTGAGAAACAAAGGAAGCAAAGAGTTGAGTTGTCAATAAAAAGGTTTGGAACAGGGATGTGTGTCATAGGAAGGAAGGGCAGAGTAGAATGAAGGTTGGGAAGACAGCAAGACTGGGAGCTTGGTGGGACCAAGCAGAATGCTGGATTTCGTATACTAATTTGGAATAACCAGTCAGATCTCATGCTGCAGGTTTGCAATTATTTGGTTCCATTGATCATTTTGCTCTTTCTTTCCCCATTGTTCCTGCAGTCACGAGAAGTTTCATGTTTGGAAGTTACAGTGGATATTGAGAAGCTGAAGGAACAATACACAGGTGAGGTCATTGCATCTTTAACTTGTTATGTATTTGTTGCTTTAAATCAATAGCTTACAAACACTGGAAGATATATAATAATCACATCTATTACATTTTCTTGACCCTTTACTTGTTTCAGGTTTCAAGGGATAAAAGAAGAATTTGATAAGCTCATGCCTTTCACACGTGATAATGTGTTCATTTATTTTGTGGTTAGGTGTCCCTACCTGAGTAAAAACATTTGCAACTGACGCCACTTTGAAGGTTGTGTTTTTGTGGCACTGTTCAATAAACTCAAGTACTTTGAGTGGACAGTCCCAAATAGCACTAACCCATTTCACAATGTCTTTATGACTCAGTATTTGGGATTTATCCAGTTTAGTGATGTGTCCACATGGCAGTTTTGAAGGGTAATGAATATCTTCCAAATGAATATCCGGCATTTACATTCCACACACATCCTTTGCTTCGTGTACTGGTTCCTTGCGCATCCCATTCATCCTATTGGTGGTGAATGCAGAATGTACAAGAACATGTAGTCCATATAGCAGAAATACCTCCAGAAAGAATTTATGGGAGGCTACTGTTTGGCACCGTGGGAGTTGCCTTGTGGTGTTCTGCAGGGTCCATCTTGTTCCCCATGGCATTTAATATCAATATGAAGCCACTGCGAGTTGCTATCAAGAGAGTTAGAGTCAAGTGCCATCAATGTACAGATGACACCCAGCTCTGTCTCCCTATTCCATCTGAATTGGGAGAGGAGGATGAGGTGTTAGACCAGGGCCTGGAGGTAGTGATGGGTTGGTTGTAGGTCAATAAACTGAAGCTGAATCCTGAGAAGACAGAGGTGTTATGTGTCCTGAGTTCTCACATCTGAGAAATGCAGAGACGACCTCTTTTGGATGGGGTTGCACTTCGCTGGAAGGAGCAGGTCCACAGATTGGGGGTGCACTGGAGGCTCAGGTGACCTCAGTGGCTAGGAGTGCCTTTTTCCAGAGCATGGAGTACAGCGGCCAAATCATCTCTGTCACCAACTACTGCCCCTTTGGGACAGAGATGATTTGGCCACTGTACTCCATGCTCTAGAGTCTGAGAGGCATTATTCCTTTTTTGTACCTGAAACATTAGGATACCTAATTGGATGCTAATGTTCAAAGTGCCAGAGAGGTGGTGTCTCAAGGTCTCCAGATTTCTTATCCACTGCCACCATTCCTGCATTTATTGCCACTGTCACCAGTCCGGGTGAACTGGAAGAGAGCTGTAGGAATTGGCTAAAGAATTCTTCTCAAATGTGAATTATCACGAGCTGCCATTTTCAACACCCCATTTTACCTGTTGTGCATGGGTCTCCTCTTAATTCCCAGGATTCTGAATAACTGGATCATAGACAAGATTGATTTTTGGACAAAACCTTTTTTGAAGCAAGTGAACTATTTGTGCTTCACTTTTTTCTGTTTAGAAGGTGATCTGACATTAACAATAAAGGGTTCCTATGAGGAAACACAGAAGATTCCACTGGCTCCAGACACCAGACTTAGTAACAGAACTGTCATTCAGTTCCACTGTATCAAGAATCATCAGTCAAATTTGGAGATCATACTACCTAAGAAGATGCAGTGGTCAAAGGTATGTTTGCTTTGATAATAATGCATAATTATTAGTCCATGGAGGTGCAGGTCAATTCTGTGTCCAGGGCAGCTGTTTACCATCCCCATCTGTTACGCAGGCTGAGACCCTACCTGTCCGCGGACTGTCTCACCAGAGTGGTGCATGCTCTAGTTATCTCTTGCTTGGACTACTGCAATGCGCTCTATGTGGGGCTATCTTTGAAGGTGACCTGGAAACTACAACTAATCCAGAATGCAGCAGCTAGACTGGTGACTGGGAGCAGCTGCCGAGACCACACAACACAGTCTTGAAAAACCTACATTGGCTCTCAGTACGTTTCTGAGCACAATTCAAAGTGTTGGTGCTGACCTTTAAAGCCCTAAACAGCCTCAGTCCAGTATACCTGAAGGAGCGTCTCCACCTCCATTGTTCTGCCCGGACACTGAGGTCCAGTGCTGAGGGCCTTCTGGCAGTTACCTCACTGCGAGAAGCCAAGTTACAGGGAACCAGGCAGAGGGCCTTCTTCGTAGTGGCACCCGGCCTATGGAACACCCTCCCACCAGATGTCAAAGAGAACAACAACTACCAGACTTTTAGGAGACACCTGAAGGCAGCCCTGTTTAGGGAAGCTTTTCATGTTTGATGCATTACTGTATTTTAATATTTTGTTGGAAGCCGCCCAGAGTGGCTGGGGAAACCCAGCCAGATGGGCGGGGGATAAATAAATAAATAATAATAATATTTAATGTGGTTTGACTGAAACAAATAAAGGTGGGTGGGGGAGATTCATCACCAAACTCTTTTACCCCCAACGTGAAAAAGCTCTATTTTTAAAATGTGTGTATATTGTATTTAATGTATACAGCTGGATTTAGAGGTTTTAGAAACAAAAACAAGGGCTGGATTCACAAATTGCATTTAGCTTTCAGAAGTGGTGCACATCAACTTGTGATAAATATGTCAATGTTACTGTACCTTGGGGTAATGTAGAAATTTTGTGTTAAATTTCTATACCTTCTTTTAATTTTTGTTGGTGTATTTTTAGCTGGCTTCATTTAAAGGAAACTCAGAAAGTAACATCTCTGTGGTTTTACCTTTGGATGAGCTTCCCATAGAAAAGACAATAACATTAAGAAAGGTAAGTGCTTTATCTTTACGAAAATATTGAATTTAAATAATTGTCAGTGAGTGTGGGAATGCTATAGCTCAGTTTGCAAAGCCTCTTTTAACTCAATAGAACTTCTGCATAAACATGCGTATAACTGCACTGTAAGCAAGATGGATCAGTGATCTGCTTCAGTGTGGGGCAACTTCCTCTGTTCCTAATATTTATCCAGAAAATAAAGCCCAATTCAGGAGCATCACTCTGCTTTCTCCTAGCAGAAAGATGGATAAATTTGTGGCAAGTGAGGCCCAAAGAACATGTAATTCAGTTGCTAATCTGTTAAGCAGGTGGGTATTAAGTAAATAGTGCCAATTACCAACAAGGTTAAGCCAGCTGTACATCAGCTTCTCTGAAGGAATAACCCAAACAAGCAGAAGGTTCATGATGTTTGGGTTATTCCTTCAGAGAAGGCTTGGCGCGCTGCTCTCTCCAGCTTCCTCCCGGCCCGGCCAGCGGCTCCACCTCTTTTCCTTTGCCTTTGAGCCGCTTAATTCCCAGCAAGCAATTAGCAGGCTCGCTCCACCTCCTCCTCCTCCCGGCTTTGCTGCTGCTGCTGCGAGGCTCTTTTCCTCCACCGACGGCGCGCTGCGCCTTGGAGAGGTTCCCGCTTCCTCGAGGGGGCCGGCCAAACGCGCCCCCAAAATGTTTGCGCCCGTGCGGCCGGCACCCCTGGCACCCCCACGCTACGCCACTGCTGAGTACAGCTGGCTTAAACGGGCTCTGAGCTATCCCCCTGCTGTGTTTTGGAAGCGATGCTAAATCAATGTATTGCAGGTCAAAGGATTTAGATGTGCTGGCACACACACAGTGAAAATGATGCCGGACCCAATCCTTCTAAATCATCCAGCAGAGGGTGATGGATTGATCCAACATAATCTTGGTTGCTGTTTTGCAGTAGCAGTTCAGCTGATCCACAACAGGACTGCTTTGTTTGTCCTACTGTGCTCTTAAAAGGGCAGAATAGTTTATGATATGCCTGAGGTTTTACCCATTCTCTTGACTTTCAGGACACAACGTTTGATCTGCATGTGAAGGCAAAAGACTGGTAAAACATTGTTTTTCTTTGCCCATTTCATCTAAGCTTGTGCAGTTTTGTTTCTTTGTTTCTCAGGAAACTATGATTTTGAATCTCAGAAGTGAGATCATTCAGGAACTAATTCACACACTTTGTTGCCCTTTCTGAATCTAGAGTGAGTTTCTCTTGTTCCGATCTATAAAAAGGCAACATTATAACGCTTAAAAACAGATGAAATTAACAGGGCAAGGGGAGTCATAACTGTGACTGAGCAGAAACAGTATGTTTCAGGAATGTTTTGGTAACATAAGAAAACAGTGGTGGACCTGGGCACTATGGCACCCTGTGTAATGCCAAAATCCCTCCCCCTCCTCATGCTGCCTTCTGAAAGGTGGCAAGGAGGCACGAGGGCCTTACATGTAAGTTACATGTCATTTCGAAAAATATAATTGAATTTTTTGTTTTGGTGTTGTTTTGATTTTGAATTACATATGGAGGGCACCAAAATTGTTTCAGTGCTCAGGGCCTCTAAGACCACCAATGCTGATGTACCATAAACTGCACTGTAGGTGCAAAAGTCAGATTAGCTTTAGTAATACTAGGATAACATAGTACAGATGATTTTGCTGCAGGCACAAAAGGGGGGGGACTTCCCCCCCTTTTGTATCACACAACTGGCTGCTCCATTTTACCTGTTGTCTCATCATTGTTGCACCCTTGGCAAGAGCCATAGTTACATTCTTGTTGGAGGTGGCATCCTCATGGATTTAGGGGAATGCGACCAGTTTGGTTCAGTTTGGTTGCACTGGGCGCAGAGCCTTGGGGGCGCCTTGGAGGTGCCACCGCTATGATGTAGAATGGAAGGAGAGAGGTGTGTGAGGCAAATTTTGGTGTCACACAGGGCTGGCACTGAAAGTTGATACTCCAAGGTCCACTACTGCTCATGTTATTCAACTAGGTCAGCTATGCAAATCATCTGAATTGCAATTTTGGAAGCAATGCCAAAGCAATGTATTGCAGGTCAAAGGATTTAGATGTCCGCCTGGCCTACGACTTGTGTGCCGAAGAACAAAATTTCCTTACCAAGAGAAGGAAATATGTTGCTACAGCTGTGAAGAAGATTCTCCAATTAAAGGAAAAGCTGCAGGATGATGAGGTACGTGACACAGGATCTTCTCATTTTCTTCTTTCCCCAAGAAGGTTAGAGTAGCCAGCTGGCTCCACCATTCATGAACTAGTGCTAGATATCTTGGGGGCAGGCTGCAACCCCAGGGATGGAGGAAAAATGCAGGGGGTTTTTTTGCATTTGAGATTGGAAAAAATGAGAAAAGTAGAGTGGATAGATTTGTCCATTCCTACTGCCTTCTGCTGTTTAAGAATGAAGACACTACAAGCTGAGTTAATGGTCAATTAAACTTTATTCCTGATGTTGCTTAGGAGCCTGCACAGATCAGAAACTAACTTCTCTAGCCATGCCACACCTCTGAGTCAGCTCTCCAGAAGCTGGCCTCCTGGGTCATAGCCATTTCTCTTAAAAGGATCACATGCCAGATATTTAATTATAATGGTTTATCAAGGCTTGTGGTTCATAGGGTGGAACACACATTGATGCAAAGATGCCCAGTTCCACCCAAAGCTTCTTCTGGTGCAGTTGTGTCCTGTACGGGCAGTGGAAGAACAAGAGGGAAACAATATGCTGTTTTGCTTCACCTTACTCAATGCACATAATATTCCGGACTGCTAATATTATGCTTAATATGTTAGGTAACTTCTATAAACCTCTGTCAATGCTAAGTGCACATGACAGTAGCGATGTTGCAAAGCACCTGCCCTATCTTTTCTTTCACAAACATGGTACTTTTGGAATAAGGTCTAGCAGCTTACTGTTTGTTCTCTGCTTCTGTGTGTTAAACAGTTGCCTGTGGTGGCAATCATGACAACAGGTGGTGGGACTAGGTCATTTGCAGCAATGTATGGAAGCCTTCTGGGTCTGCAGAAACTGAATCTCTTAGACTGCATTACGTATCTCACAGGCTTGTCTGGCACAACATGGTAAGGAGGGTTTTTCTTGAAACTTACTATATTTTGTATGCCCAATGCAGTTTGCTGTTTTATGTGGTCGCCCAGTATTCAAGACAATGCATAAAGCTTTCCATGCTACCAGTACTACCTACGTCACAGGAGAAAATTCCCTTTTAAATAACGGTGTTATGACTGATATTTACCTTGCGCTTTATGAAAAATATAGGGCTACAAGGCTTTGCAGGCACAGCGAACCCGGATTCACTGGGGGCAGAGGGCATAAGAACCAATAATGACATGGCAACAGCTTGGGACTGAAATGGCCACAACTTTATTGAATACAGATATAAGCAGGCTTTGGTATAAGCATTGGGTATGCATCCTGAATCAGTCTATCCTGATTGCTGGCTGATTGCTCCTTTAGGGTCAATCCTAGGTTAAAGCAACCCTCCCATAATGCAGATCAAATGGGGTGAACTGCCAGGCCACCACGTGGGAAGCCTTTGGGCCCATTAGCCCCTGTCTGGGCCCTTGGACAAAACTTTCCCCATAGACTTCTTTACCAGAGTACCATAAACAGTAGTTCCAGTTTAGACTAAGGATCCAACCCAATGCCTTTTCTGCCAGAAGGTTGTGGCAGGTGCTATGAGGTAGGCAAAATCTCCAGACAGGCAAAAATCCTTCCTGGTCCTAAATACTGCATCTGATTAATTCCACAACAAGGTCAAATATGTGCTCTGTTAGCTTGCATTTGTGTAAGGCCAAGATATACCAGGTGGGCAGATGGGATCTTCGTTGCCGACTGCTCTGCCCACTCCCGGCGCAGCCAGAATGTAATGTGTGGAAGCAGACCAGAGATAGGTTCCCTCAGGTCCATCTCCACAACCACACCCCCTAGACTGGCAATGGTTGGCCATTTTGCATTTGAAATTCTGGTGGGAAGTCCCAGAAGACCCTGTGACCAGCTGAGGCTGAATAACACAACCGGTGGTCAACCCCTGGCTTCCTCGCAGCTGTGCCAGTTTGCAATTGCCGCTGCTGCTGATATGATAAGCAGTCTTTTCATTAATCAGCTAGATCATTCGGTCTGAAACTTTTTAATTCACAAAAATGCAGCTGATTAAGGCATCATTAGGATTTTAAAGATAAGTGCTCATAAAAACTGCAGATGGCAGGCACCATCTCTAAATAGGCATTTGCCATTGTCTCACAGCTTAGAAGAGGAGGAGAAAAGCCCCTTTCACTAAAGGAGTCTGTCTGGCAGTGACCCTCCATCTATGGAATACCCTACCCTGAGAGGCTTAGCTGGTGCCTACTTTAATATCTTTTTGATGCCAGGCAAAGTTTTTCTCTCTCTTTCCTTAGTCCTTTTAATATCTCTAGCATCTTTGAACACCAATAATCTGCATCTGCAGAATGACGACAATAGCATAACCTTCAACATTTCTCCGATGAAAATAGGGATGTCCCATTCTGTGATGATAATTTTACTATTTATACCCCACACATCTTACTGGGTTGTCCCAGCTACTCTGAGCAGCTTTCAACATATATAAAAACATAATGAAACATTAAACAATAAAAAACCTTCCATATACAGAATTGCCTTCAGACGGCTTGGGGGTCAGATAACTCAATACCCTCCAACATTTGTCCAATGAAAATAGGAATGTCCTAAGGAAAAGTGGGACATTCTGGGATCAAATAAGAAACTGGGATAGCTTCTCTAAATCAGGGATGTCCCTGGAAAATAGGGACACTTGGAGGGTCTGCAATAGTTGGGCTGAGGATTGCTGGATTTGATTTACCTGTCTCTATTGAGTTTCAGCACATTTATCTGGACACATACTTTAGTTATGGATACTTGTTTTTAACATTTGCTGCTTTTATCTGTAGTTTATTGATTATTGTTTTATATTGTTAGAGGGGCTTTTTATTAAGCAGTTTTTAAATTATTCTAAATAAATCAACATAAATTAAAAAAGTATTGTTGTACTATTACTGGATTGGTTCATTGATTTAGGGTAGTATGATTGAATGGCTCTATTTTTTTTTTAAGTCGTTGTTTCACTGTGTATGTTGCTTAGCCAAAAAATAAAATAAAATAGGTGACTCATGAATTAAATTAATAAAATAATGTTAAATAATACATGTGTGCCTGACCTAAATAAAAACAATACATGTGTGAATCATCTAAGCCTTTTGCCTGCCAGGATGAAGGTGTGTGTGTTTGTGTGTGTGTAGAAATCTCTGACGTTTTTGTGCCTGAAGTGTAGCCTACTGGACAAAGGTAAGAGCTATAACCATTGATCCTCCCACTTTTACCTCTGGCCATGCCCATTGCTGGCACCTAGTCCCTGGGAGATGGCTCATGGAGGTTTGTGGCCTTCAAGCATTGAAAAAGATTACCCACTTTTGATCTAAGTATACTTATTGTTTCTGAAAAATTGTTTTTATTCATATGCAGATCTATGCAAATTTAATTTATAGAGTAATAAACTAAAAGCACATTTGAAATGTTTTTTTTTTTAATTATTTGGCTTGCAGCTCTTATGAAAAGCTAGAGTTTGTCTCTCTCTGAACTTGAGGTTTCTATGCTATTAGTTGCATATCAGTCTGATAGTATCTTTCAAAACTCAGGACTATGGGAAATTTGTATGAAGATGCTGATTGGTCCCAGAAATACCTGGAGGAAGCCATTCTCAAAGCCCGGAAGCAAGTGACAAAGTCCAAGCTTAACTCCTTTTCCATGGATAAACTGAAGTATTATTATAATGAACTGAAACAAAGAAGCGAAGAAGGACACAACACTTCATTCATAGACCTCTGGGGGCTTGTCATTGAATCCATGTTACATGATGAGGTAACTGCTGTATTCCCCACCTCCCTTCCATTTTGAAACATGGTGGTTAATCAAGGGAAAATGGAGGTTTATACACAACAGAGGAGGAATGCAAAGAGAATAATAGGGGAAGGTCTGGGAGCTATTAACCTCAGTGGTGGAGTGAGAGTATTAAGAGGTGTAGGCAGAGCCACTACACCATGGGAAATGTTCTTGATGGGACAGGATCCAATAATGACAAGAGCACCCAAACTCAACAGTGAGGGGCTCATCAGGTGTTTCCTGAGGATCACAGGGCACTTTATTTCATAGAGGGCACTGTATTTCATACTCCTGTGTAGAACACACTTATGCTTTTAACGTTGCCCTAGTTTTCAGCTGCATTTCCCCCTGCATTTCAATGTTTTGATATGTATTTTAATATTGTACGCTGCCTTGAGACTTGACATGGAAGCCAGTACAGTGGTACCTCGGGTTACATATGCTTCAGGTTACAGACGCTTCAGGTTACAGACTCCGCTAACCCAGAAATAGTACCTCGGGTTAAGAACTTTGCTTCAGGATGAGAACAGAAATCGTGCTCCGGCGGCACGGCAGCAGTGGGAGGCCCCATTAGCTAAAGTGGTGCTTCAGGTTAAGAACAGTTTCAAGTTAAGAACGGACCTCCAGAACGAATTAAGTACTTAACCTGAGGTACCACTGTATAGAATTGTTTCAAACAAATATAATATAACAATATAAAAATGTGTGCACATGATGGCCAAGGCATGTATGCAGACGCATATTCAGATCTTAGATTCCATCTCAGTTTTAAACTAATTAATCTATAATTTTGATCACTGTTGTTCTTCTCTCTCATTTGCAGAAAGACAATAGTACAATCTCAGGTCAGCGAATGGCTGTGAATGAGGGTCAGAATCCCTTGCCCATTTATTTGACTGTCAACCTTAAAGACCAGTACAGTGCTCAAGATTATAAAGGTAATGTTGCTATTATAAATCAATAAGGGGTCCGCTTTGTTGTTCTACCAACCTCAGAAGCTCAGGGAAAGCAGTGGCGGCCCAGGAAAAATGCTTAGCCAGCTCAAGTATGGAAACACCTGTCTTTGTGGTTAGAGTGACTGTACTGGTATATAATTGTGTGTAAACAGAGATTGGAGTTCCATCCTCTGTACACTTTCCAAATTGCTTGCTGTAACCTTTCCTGCTTCGGCAAGAAATAAAACTCTACTTTTAGAGAATTCTTGGGCATCACTTGGTGCTGCTAGCGAGTAAAAAGATTTGGCTGTGCAAGTCTCTTTCCCCACACCAGTAGGGGAAATCGAACTCCATTTTGTTGTCTTCACAGAGTGGCTGGAGTTCACACCTTACGAAGTGGGGAACTTCAAATATGGAGCCTACACCCATTCAGAAGATTTTGGTAGTGAGTACTTCATGGGACGACTGATGAAGAAGCTTCCAGAAAGTCGAATCTGCTTCATGCAAGGTGCTGAGGGCGGGGGAGGATCAATTAGAAAGAAAATAGTAGTTTAGACAAAGTAGAGCTAGGATCAATTCACTTGCCCTAGCACCCAATCATTTTCTTGTAGTTCCCAAATGTCTAAATCAGTTTTGTTTTTTGTTTTGGCTTCACTGGCAAAGCTACTTCAAGGAAAGTTGATGTACTGAGTTATGTTGGCAACACAGTGCAGTAATATTTTACACAACACATTTAAATGCAGTGTGAAGGTTTACACGGATAATTGTTCAGATTATTGTGAGTTATTCTGAAAAGCAAATATTTCTCCCTAGTTTCAGGTTTAGTTTGGTTTATTATTTCTATCCCACTTCAGTGTTACTTGGTTTTTTGATGAAAAGCAAGGGACAGTGATGATCAATAGTGTATTCCAAACCAGTCGTATGTGAATCTTGACTAGGGTGATCAGAAGCAAAGGAGGTCAGAACTATACTGAGGGCACAAATACATGTTAGCAGGTGGAGCTCATCATGTGTTGCAATTCTCTCTGCTGCACAATTAGAAACTGGCATAATTTCCATAGCTCAATTTAGAATCCACTAAGCTTTCTTAGTGAGCATTTGGGCATGTGTGTTTGTTTTCTGAGAGAATATATGGAGCAAATATGCTGATGCGACTGCCCAGATGCATGGGTAACCAACAAGGTGCCCTCTAGATGTTGTTGGGCCCCCATGGGAGTGGTAGCCCAACAACACCCAGTTGGTATCATGTTGCCTACTTTGGCTTTGTGTATTGTTCCCTGGTCATTGTCCCCGCCCCCCTTCTCAAAACAGATATACACATGAACAAGATGATGTTTTGGACAGGATGGGGAACAATAACCATATGAACATTTTCTAGCAATGGCCCCATTACATCCACACTACAGGGCTGAGATCCATAGCCCTTGCAGGAATCCATTTCCCAAAGAGAATTACAAAACAGTTATCATGGGAATTGGGGTTGCTTGTGTGTAAACCTCCCACTGCTCCAAACTGCTTGGGGTGGTTGCGCCTTTCCCTGGCTGAGCAGCCCTCTTGCGCGGCTGCTTCAGTCGCTGGCAGAATCCGTCAGTGGGCGTTTCCTAAACTTCTTCCAGCATAAGAATTCCTTAACGGACAACCTCCTCCTCGCCTCTCTGCGCGGAAGCCTTCTGCGCAGAGTGGGCATGCCAAGCGGTTGTCCTCCACTCTCCTCACTGACTTCACTGGAAGAGTCTCGGAGCCTCCCCTCCAAAGTGCTCTCAGCCTCTCCTTTCTTCCTGGTGTCACCTGGACTTCCTTCCCCAGCGGAAGCTCTCTCTCTTCCCTGACTGGTTCCCTCTCCGGCATCATCGGGGAGCCTAACCTCTCCACTCTGCTCCGATGTCAGTTCCCTGACAACAGTTTTTCAGGCTGAAACCATATTTCACAACTCTGAATGCCTTTATACAATTAGTGAGCTCCAGTGCAAGGCAAAATACCTGTTTCCTTCCAAAGCTTCACCTGTTTAGTATTTTGAAATCTCTTCCATTTCACAGGAATGTGGAGCAGCATATTTTCCATGGATTTCATGTATTTCTGGAATTTGGCTCATAATTCTGAAGACTTTTGGAGCAGGTGGACAAAAGACAAAGTAGAAGACATTGGTAATGTAACATCCTTGCTTCTTTTAGATTTTTCTGTTTTGTAAAATGATTGTTGACACACTCCTGTTTGATAACAGATTTGTGTAGACTAATTACTTGTTCCAGTAAAAGGAGACAGGAAACATTGTATGATTCTATTAAAACAAAAAATGCCCACCCAAGAAAGTGATCAGACACAGGAGAAGACACTGATCCAGAGAAAATACCAGGCCCAAATTCTCCCAGTTCCCTTGACAACTAGTGTGAGAGACTAAATCTACTTAAAACCTAGTCTATGAATATGGAGGGTTTTTACCTTTCCAGTGTGTTCAGGCTATGTGCAAGAACAGCTCATGAATATGTGTATTTAAGATGCTTTATTTATTAATTGGAGGTATTTTTAATCCACCCTTCACTTGATGGTGGTACATACCTCAACAATGAAAGCATCATTAGCAGTGTATAATTAATTAATTAATCATCAGCAACATTAGTAAGACTCACAGAAAAATCACCAAAAAAATGTTCAATCAATGTGAGGCAAAATAAAGCAATTCTTGATCCTCAAGGGCCTAGACAAAGAGGTGTATCCTTGTCTGAAATGAAACAAAACAGTGTTGGAGCATAGCACACCACAAAGTGATAGCTATTCCAGAAGTGTTGCCACCACAGAGTATTATTTGTGGCAGTACTTGCGGTCCAAAGCTATCTTAGGTTTTATTCCTAGTATTTTATCACTTCTGACCATTGGTCCATCAAGCCTAGTTTTTCTTTTCTGTTTGGACTGGCAGTGGTCTTTTGAAATCTTGGGCAAGATATCCTTATATCTTTTTACTGAAAGGGCTGAACCTGTGACCTTCTGCAGGCAAAAGAGGTGCTTTTTCACTATATTATTGATCTTCCTCAAGGCTCTGTGAGCAAAATGTCATTGATATCAAGGGGTATTAAACATCCCTTATGTCTTTTGCAGATGCTTCTCTTTCGCCCTCAGGACCACGAGATCTGGAAACCCGCAAAATCACCCCCCAGGGCCAGCTATCTTATGGTCTCCGAGATGTCTTAACAGGACGCCCAACAATAGCAGAATATCCCAATTTCCTGAAAGGCTTCCAGTTTCATGAGGAATACTTGAAGAATGAGCACTTTTCTGCGTGGAAAGGCACAGTAATAAACCTACATTTGTGGTGATATCTTGTTGGCTTCTCAGTTGTAACTCAATATACAAGAACATTTTACTCAGGAAAACGAGTGATCTAGTTTTGTGTTAATTAAACTAGGAATTCATTGTGTGGCACAAGCAGTTCTCATCAAAGAATCACTTCCATTTGAACCTGGCAGCTTGCTCCACCAAAGACATTTTGGAAGATTCAGAATACAAGACCAAAGAGGCTCAAAGAGGCTGGAGAACCAGTGGAAAATTATGCACAAAACAGCTGTGGTGATATTTCACTGGTTATGTGATTGATTTGTTGCCACTTTTTGCCTTACATTTCATAGTTAACCCTAGAAAAAAAGTTCACATTTTCAGTTACATACATTTCTCACTCTTTGTGTCCCATATAACTTCTTCCAACATTTTCAGGGGTGAATAGCAGTGTTTGCTGGGAATGGAAGAATCTCCCCAATTTGGTTTCTCATTTCCCAGCCTTTTCAGTACGCCACATTTCAGCATGTTTGCATATTTTTAAAAAGGAAATTCCTCATGTTTCCTTCAAAAAACCCCTCCGAAATAACTAAGGACAATAAAGTAACATTCACAATACTATTTAACAGCTCTCCCTCCCCCTAAAAAAATCCCACTGGGGAGCAGCAGAGGTTAAAACGGTAATTAAAAAGCACTAATACACAAAGTTTGGATGAAATTAGAGGACATTCCTTTATTTTTTGCCTTGGGAGCTTTTGTTGTTTTTGCACAAAGTTGACCTGCAAATTTGCTTTTCAGATACTGTGGTGGATGATTACCCTAACCAGCTAATGGAAACAGCAGAGCATGCTCTGTCTCTGGTGGATACTGGATTTTTCATCAATACCAGCTACCCACCCCTTCTGAGACCTGAGAGAAAAGTGGATCTTATACTGCATTTAAATTACACTGGGGGCTCACAGACCTTGGTGAGATCTTTTAATTGTTCCTGTCTTTCTTCTATAAGCTCCTATGCAAAGATTAAAATGCAACAGGCGCACACTGTGAACTGGCCATCTTTCAAATCCTACAAAAGTCATGCAGGCTTAGGAGTGATATACAACAATGTTCTTTCAGAACAATGCTTTCTGCTTTCTCAACTAAAATCTATCCCACCTCCCCACATGTTTGGATGTTTCCACCAGCTCTCTGGAGCAGATTTGGAGAGAGGGTATAGAGCACACATGGAAAGAAGAGGAGGGGAAATTCCATTACATAAGTGGAAACCCTTATACAGATGGAGCAAGTTACTTAGATGCCACTGTAGGCTGAAACAGACTTGGTTGGTGCATGTTATGTACTGAGTTGAATAGGATCCAAACTGCAGCAGTCTGATTGGTCCTAGAACAATAGGATCCAAAAGGCAGCAGTCTGATTGGTCCTAAAACAATAGGATTCAGAATGCAGCAGTCTGATTGGCCCTAGAACAATGCAGCAGTATGATTGGTTGGCAGGAACTACCCAATCATGCTCCAGATAGAAGTGAATCCACAACCTGATTGGCTTACAGTAGAATTGCGGAATTAGCCAATCATGTGCAGCCCATTGTGTAAATAATGTATATAAAGCAGATACTTTGAGGGGACATTCATTCACTCCTCCTCACCACTATGAATAAATTTCAGCTGAATAAAGAGCATGAAATCACTTTGCGACTGAGTATATTTCAGCGCAGCATTAGTTTTGTGTTGTATTTGATTTTCACAGCCCATTTCTTTGTGATTTCTCACCTAGAATTTGGACCAGTTTTCCACTTATATTGCTAAGCTCGGAATCCCATTTCCCAACATGGAGCTCAGTGAGGAAGACAAGAAGAACCTGAAGGAGTGCTATTGGTTTGAAGATACAGATAACGCAGCAGCTCCTATCGTGCTCTTTTTCCCACTGACAAACGATACTTTCAGAAAATACAAAGAACCTGGTAAGTTGCGAAAAGCTTCCCAACATCACAATGACTAGTCACACTCCAATAATGCTCTTTGCTGACTAGACACTTAAGTATTCCTTTGGTCAAATTGTTAGTCTTTCCATGAGCACCAAATCCTATAAGTAGAAGTACACTGAACCACAACTTAACAGGTTGATTGTATCTGGCCTAGTTTTGAGCACATGGTAAAGTGTCTTTGCTCTGCAGCCAGGTCTTAATTTTATAATGACCAACGTGCAGATGCCTTTGTCATGGTGTACTGAATTGTCTGCATGTGTTATAAAGCAAGAACTTAGGAGAATGGTGGAGCAATGATACAACAATGCCGACCTACCAATGATACAACAATGTCAAAGAAGGGTCAAACAAAGGTCTCTATTTTAGCACATATTCCACCCATTTTCCCCAAGGTGGCCATTTTGTGGTGGATAAGCTTCCTGTAATTAGGGTTGTCTCTATATCTATCCATCAACATCATAGAATTGTAGAGTTGGAAGGGGCCAACTCAGGGGATCTTTTGCCTAATGCTGGGCTTGAACCCATGACCCTGGGATTAAGAGTCTCATGCTCTACCAGCTTATCTTACAAATGGTGGATGTGCAAAATTGTATACTAGTAAAGTGCTGGCACTAGTTCAAGGCTCAATAGCCTTGTAGGTAAAGTTAAAGGACCCCTGGACAGTTAAGTCCAGTCAAAGTTGACTATGGGGTGCAGCGCTCATCTCACTTCAGGCCCAGGGAGTTTTCCAGGTCATGTGGCCAGCATGACTAAACTGCTTGTGGCACAATGGGACACTGTGACGAGTGCCAGAGTGCATGTAACTGCCGTTTACCTTTCTGTCGCAGCAGTACCTATTTATCTACTTGCACTGGTGTGCTTTCGAACCGCTAGGTTGGCAGAAGCTGGGACAGAGCAACAGCAGCTCATCCTGTTGTGCAGATTCGAACCGCCGACCTTCCGTTCGGCAAGCCCAAGAGGCTCAGTGGTTTAGATTACAGCGCCATCCGCTCAAATAATATAGTCTACACTGTTTCCCATCCCCTTGACTCTCTGGAAAGTGGGAAGGAGACACAGGGAGCTGTGTAGGTGGAAGACTCTGATCATAAAATGGTCACTTAGGTGATGTTACTTGAGTGAGTTCATTGCCAGCCTCTGGTTCTCAACAAATGGCCCATCAAGCTGACAGCTGGAGCTGTCATATTTATTTGGGCAAGCTCTGGTGTGATTTCATGCTGAGTTTTATATGCTTTTAGAGTATTCGTACATTATAGGAAGATGTAGTATTTAAGCAAGGCCAATAATATTACCCTTCTTAGATTAACGTGAATGGATGAACTCTGCTGTTTTGGCCTAGAGATGAAAACCTTACTGCTGAAACTCTTGGTGGTGTTCTTTCTACAGGTGTGGAACGCAGCCCCACAGATATGGAAGAAGGCAATGTGGATGTCTCTAGCTTTCACTCCCCATTTGCTACAAGAGAGGTGACCTTTTCAGAGGAGAATTTTGACAGATTGGTGAAACTGACTGAATATAACATCCTGAACAATGAGAACAAGATTGTCGAAGCCTTGTGTGTAGCTGTGGAGCGGAGAAAAAAGCGGAAATTATGAGTACCACTGTGGAGGGTGCTAGGCTGCAATCCTAAGCAGATAGATGTCCACGTCATTTTTGCTGCTACTCAAATTCATGTTGTAAATCTACATGAAGAGAACAGTTGTTCCATGAGCACCTACTGCAAGATATTTGTTTATTGAAAACGAGATAGCCATGTTTCCTTGTAATATTGGGAACACATTCTTTTAGGTAAGCTGCATCATAGTATAATTGCAATACAGGGATACACAGCCCTCCTTTTACAATAGATTATTTTGGGGCATCTATTCTCAGATGGACCAGAAACTCTGAGAAAGAATGAAATTAATCATCTGTCTGCGCAATTAATACATTGTAATCTTAAATCCTCCTGCTTGATTTTCTCATTCATTTGATGTTTTTCTCCTCTCTGCTTGGTTTATTTTGTTACTCATGTTTGTTGTTGTCATGGTACAGTATATATGCATGTCTTTTTTTTAATGGAAAACTCAATAAACTCATTTTAAAAAGAAAGAAAACAGGGCAGTCATTACAGTTGCTCATACACACAAACAAATGATTCGTACACCCCAAGAGGAAAATGTATATTTCATAGAGAAGCAAGCACGTTAGAATAAAAGGAAAACAATCCTCAGCTGTTTGAGAGATACAGTGGTACCTCGGGTTAAGAACTTAATTCGTTCTGGAGGTCTGTTCTTAACCTGAAACTGTTCTTAACCTGAAGCACCACTTTAGCTAATGGGGCCTCCCGCTGCTGCGGAGCACAATTTCTGTTCTCATCCTGAAGCAAAGTTCTTAACCCGAGGTACTATTTCTGGGCTAGCGGAGTCTGTAACCTGAAGCGTCTGTAACCCAAGGTACCACTGTACAGCAGAAGAGGTGCTGTCTTCACTTTCATGTGAGAAAACCAGATAAACCATGCACTCAATGCTCTCAAGCTCTTTTAAATCTCAGTGCATTTCTATAGTCACCGTATTTTTTGCTCCATAAGATGCACTTTTTCCCTCCTAAAAAGTAAAGGGAAATGTCTGTGCGTCTTATGGAGTGAATGTGTGGTCGATCGCTGGCTCCCTTTCTGGCCCCACCCCCTTGCCCAGGCCTCCATTGTTGAATGTTCTGAGGAGGCTGTTTCCCCAGCGACATGTGACTGGCTGATTAGATCATCTGTTTGGAAACTGTAGAAATGGCTCCCTTTCCTTTCCTAAAGAAGCTGCAGAACTGTGAGTTGAACCCCATAAAAACAGGATTTTTTCCCTTTGCAAAGTAAGGTCAACAACTGTGAGCTGATCCTCAAAAAAGGGGCTTTCCTCCTTTGCAAAAGAAGCTGCACAACTGTGAGCTGATCCCCCCCCCCAAAACGGGACTTTCCTCCTTTCCTCCTCTAAAAACTAGGTGCGTCTTATGGTCAGGTGCGTCTTATGGAGCGAAAAATACGGTAATCACCCAACTGCACAATTATCCCATTACCTACTTACTTCTGTTAATACCTAGCAATCTGTTTCCTAGTAAACATTTTTCTAATTCTGATGCAGAGACTGCCACGTTCTATTTTTAAATCTTGGCTCTCAAAGCTTAGCCTGGAATTCTGTGAGGCATGTCCAGGATTAGAGGACAGGAAGCTAGTAAAGAACTTTAATGTCTTTCTCCATCAAGATTGGCAGCAGGAAGCTTGTAACTCCACCCAGATACAACTAAGGGCTTATCCACACTTCCTCTTGTCCGGCTGTCCTGCTGTTGGTTTTCCATGTTCTGATTTAAAGCTAGAGCAGGTTTTCCCTGGGAAAGGAGCATGGCAAGCAGGAAACTGCTCTGACTCATGCTTTCTCGGCATGGCATAAGATGAAGTGTTGATGAGCCCCAAGTCATGTGCCTTCTAGCCTTTGCCAAGCAGGTGCCTGCTATGTATTTTGAACAAACTCTTCTTAGACACCACTAGCATGTGCTTCTTCTTCCACCAGTAGATACCTCAGCTGGCTGGGGCTGACTGGAGTTGTCCAAAACATTTGTAGAGACACCAGGTTGCTGAATGCCGGACTAGACCATATGATTATAATGCATGGAATCCAGTGGGATTTTTGTGGTCACAGAAGGGCTTTTGAAACAGCAGATATGTGTGCTAATGGAACAGAAGAGGCAATTCCCCTTTCCACCCAAAGCCCACCTTCTACCCTGTTCTGGGGAGTCCCCCAACTCTCTGGAACTGATTTTCAAGGGGCTCTGGGAGCTACAGCAAGGATTCCACCTAATGCTACTAGCCGTGTCATTATTTTTGTCCCACTGTCCTGTCTCATCAAGCTGGCTGGGCAGGTTTTTGAAGCACTTCAAAATCGGCAACGTTTATGAAGACAATGAAGATAATGGGATGCGTATGTACACTGTGGCAACAAGGTCTTTATTGTTCCATCTTCAAATCTCTGAAAAAGCTTTCCTCCGTGTTTAGCCTACAAAAACAACAAGACAAACCCATGGATGCTGGACACCTCCCAGTCTTTGTTGCATTTCTTGATACTTCTCTCAACTCTACTTTTATCCTTCAGGCTGATTTCTTAAGCGCGGTTGCTTAACTAAAGTTCCAGGTTTCTAGTCTCAAAGCTGCAATTAGATAGCTGTTTTGCACCTTTATTAACATATTCCCACAACTTGCATGGACAAGTATGTGTGATACTTTAATTTTTTTTCTTAATATAGTGCTTTGTCTTGATATTCTGAAGCCAAATGATCTGAAACCCATGTACAAAGGATATATTCTATATTCCTATAGAAACCCATGTACAAAGGATGTGTGAGGGGATCATCTGAGAAGAATTAGATGAAGGCCTTGGTTCCTATCTTGGTTCCTTGCATGGTCTTCCTGTTTGATCCTGGCTCCGCTATGCAGTTCTACATTCTTATGCGACTGGAATGATGTGGGAGGGGGAGAGGGGAAACAGCAGCCACAACATCACCATCGAATGAGAAAGTAGCCTGTCCCCCCCCTCTGCTAACAATGAGTTCTGGGATGTTAATCTGTCTCTAAAACTGGAAAAGAGACTGGTGTTCTTAAATCAGGGATTCGGAGGGTGCTTTCAGTCAGTCACTATTTCACAGATGTGGTTAATTTAGGGGCAAATTTGGTTTGCGCAACTGAAACAGATTTGGTCTCTTGTGCCACAAAACCTCTTCAAAAGGGGGGAGGGGGTCCTACATGGTGGGATGCCAGAGGGATTATACCCCAGTAGAACTGAGGTATATCAATAAGGATTTGGCTTCATTGTTTTGGAGAATGTGCAATTCCCTGCACATAGACTACCACATGTGATAAACGGGCCCCAAGTAGTAGTAGTAATAAATAAATAAATCATCTATACCCCACCCATCTGACTGGGTTTCCCCAACCACTCTGGGCGGCTCTCAACAGAATATTAAAAACATGATAAAACACTAAAAACTTCCCTAAACAGGGCTGCCTTCAGATGTCTTCTAAAAGTCAGATAGTTGCTTATTTCCTTGACATCTGATGAGAGGGCATTCCACAGGGCGGGCGCCACTACTGAGAAGGCCCTCTGCCTGGTTCCCTGTAACCTCACTTCTCACAGTGAGGGAACTGCCATAAGGCCCTCAGAGCTGGACCTCAGTATCCAGGCGGAACGATGGGGGTGGAGACACTCCTTCAGGTATACTGGGCCAAGTGTTTGGTGAAAGGGTTTTTCAGGAAATATCAGATATAATGGAACAATTGGTGGTGGAGGTGGATCTATCCTAGGTCCTGTCAAATGTTATAGCCCATGTGTTATAGCAGTGTTATAGCCCATGACTAACGTCAACTCATCATCATTTACAACGCAAGGCTGGTGGCCCAAAGTGTGATTTAAAGTGTGATTTATTGGGTTGGCTGAGAAGCTTCCATAGCCCAGAGGAGTTGCAAAATGTGATAACTTCATGGCAATGTGGGGGCCTTTCATGACATTTATTACCAGGCAAGGAAGTAAATTAATTCTGCCTGAGTACCAGAAGTCATTTTGGAAAGGTTTATTGCCATGATATTTGTTAGCTTAATCTTAATAGTTATCTTGCCAGTATTTGGATATCTAAATTATGTTTCCTAGTGATGTTTCAAATTATGTAAGGACAGGCACTATATTTTGCTCCAATTTATTTAATTTAATAACATTTAAATATTCATAAAACCCACTTTCCTATAAAGTATAACAAGACAGTGTACAACATAAAAATGAAATACTACGATAAAAGCAGTAAAAGCATCAATAATATACCAGTAAAAATGGGCTGGTAAAAAAAATTGTTGTTCAAAATACTTGTCTGACCAACACAGCTTTTAATAGGTGGATGAAAGAAAGCAGAATTCCTTCTGAATTTCTATTGGCAAGGAGTTCCACAGGATAGAACCTGGCACACAAATGGGCTGGTTCTTGGTAAAGTCTGCCCAAACCTCAGGGGCTTGGGGGACCACTCAACATGCTTCAGTAAAAGACATCAAAATCTTGAAATTGCTGGTGGTTTTTAATATATGCTTTTATTTATTTTTTAATAAAAGAAAAGCAATGAGAAAATGTGCTGGAAAGTGAGGGATAATGATCAGTTGACATGGCATTGTATAACTTTTCCACAAACAAATCAGAATGAATGCTCATTAAACAGCTGATGCCATATTATCTCCCCACAAACTTTGTGCAAGTCATCCAGAAGTGACTCAAGTTTATTAGGAGCTTTTTTTTTTTTTGAACCCTGTAACTCACACAGAATGGAATCTAAAGCTGAAATTTGCTCTTCTCCAAACACTCCAGCCTTGCGCTACCTTTCCTATTTCCCCAGATCCTTTTCATGTCTTTCACTACAAATCCCAATATGCAGTTCGCCTACCACAAACCAACAAAGAACAGCGGATACCCAAACAACAAACTGTGTTCATGGAGGAATGGGGCAGCTTTCATTCTGGAAGCCAAAGATAGGACACAGCTTCTGAAGCTCCCCAGATCAATGTTTGGGTCATCTTAACAAAATAGAAGGTTTTTGACACTCCTTCTACACTGATGCTAAGAGTCTGTA